CACACACACACACACACAATCCACGTCCTTAAAGTACATATTTGCATTGCATGAATGAAAGATGCAGAGGCAACAGTGAAACAGGATTTTTTAAATGGTAAAAATGCTTTCTGGATCAATTAATGAGACACATGCTAAGCCAAAAATAAAGAAAAAAACAATGAAGGGCTGCTTTCCTTAGCTTCAGTGCAACATCCACCAGATTTAATGTACTTGATTATTTTGCCTGGTTTTTTTTTTCACTTCAGTTCCCCTTTCTAGTCACTCAGGTCAGCTCTTCAAGGCAGCCTGGTTTTGTGAGTTGGCCTTTGCAAACATAAAACAGACATTTAACATCTATAAACTGACTTTATTCAGAGGTGAACCCATAGCAACAGCCCTTTCTGTTGTATAATTAGAGCTGTAGACAGTGCAACAAATTCAAATAAGCTCCTTTTCAAACCATGACGAAATAAAACTGCATAAAATGAATTTGACACTGGTGTTAGTCAAATCTGTTGCATGTAAGTCAGTTTTTCATTCATTGCAAAGATTTTAAAAATGCAGATTTCTAGACACGTGTTGGCACACTGCACTGTTTTCATAGCTCCAACCTTTATTACCGTTAACTCCAGACCATGCAAGGTGCATAAGCAATTTATTTCCTGCTGAATTGTAACTACCACCTCTATAATTTTGTACTCGCATTTCATTTTTTGGGGGGTTAATCTTTTTTCTAGTGTCACGTAAGCAAACACAACTTAAATGACTGATTGCCTAAGTGAACAGAACTACAGGTTTTCTTAGAAAAAGAAACCTAAAATATAAAGATTTGATCAAAGAAAGAAAGAAAGGGAAAAAAATAGTGCAAATCGGCCATAATAAAGAACAAAATACAATTGAGTGTGCAATATGTTACATACATAATAATAAAAAGAAATCTTTTATTAGCCTTTGTCAATTAAATTTTTTGGGGCTATTTATAAGCAGTAGCGTTCCTAAAGCAGCTAGACACGACAATGTTATTTGGCCACAAGTTTGAATCCCGTTTTCCACATGTTGAGATTCTGTTTTGTATCTCCAAGAGTCGCTATGAAAATAGTTTTTAAGAAAAAATACGTATAGAACCATTCATTTCATTTAAACCTCAAAAAGACAAAAAAAATCTTTATAACTTATTAGTAACAAAAAAAGCACTGATTTCAGATAAATGAAGGTGATTGTTCTTTTCTCTCTCTCTTTTTAGTAAAACTTGTAAATCACAACATCAAGGTTCTTTTTTTTCTTTCTATGGTTTGGATTAATAAACTAAGAAAATAATCTGGTTCTTGTTTCAGTGCACTGATCTGTCCGTCACGATACAATCCACATGATTACATGGCTCCATTAGTGTAACCTGGAACATCATGAGGGTATTTCGCTGGAACTACTGCAAGACATTCATTTCCAAAACAAAAACAGTGATGCCATTTCTTTTTGACCTAACATAATTATGAACATTACATGGTATACAGAATCAAATAATAAT